TTTACTCTTTTATGGTCTGAAGCTCTTTGTAATAATCTATTTAAACATTTTCATTTTCTTGGTCATAAATTCATTGAAACTATAAAATAATTAGAAAAAAACTTTTTTCTGAGATATTTAAATTAGTCACAACAATAAATTTGACACAATAAAACTATAATCTCTTTCCATACCTAAAAAAATCCACAAACTTTACTTATTTTTTCTCTGTGGCACTAATAGAGCATCCACCAAAAAATAATGACAATGCAAAAGAAGCATAAATATATAGCAGTGGGCAAAAGTAGGCTAAATTACCAGCCATCACTGCCTAAAAGATAAATCATAAGTAAGGATATAAAATAATAATGATAATAAGAAGACAAATAAAACAAATAAGTATTAAAATCATTAATAAATAAATAATAAGAATAAATTTTCGCATACTCACAACTGTAAACCTACTTTTGCTCACTGCTGTATTAAAGTGATTTGAATCTACCTGAGCACTGTGTAACTAAGGTGAGTAAACGAATCCTATCATCCTATGATGTGGTGCTGTATAAATACAAAGCAATCCATTATCCATACCAAAACCAATCTCTGAACTTTAACAGCTACTGGAATATTATGTTTCATGCTAGGACTGCCTCCTTCAAGTCCAGGTTAATATATATAACTCTCCAAACCTAAGGGCACTGTGCTACACACTTTAATATGAACTTATACATAACTAGCTGTTTGGTCTTGAGCAACAGTGCATTATGAAACAGAAAACACATATAGCCTGATTTTCTGACCTGTGAATTAGTAGCTAGAACAGATTAAACTGGAAGAGGAAAACATCTTTTTCTTTCATATTGTGAGTTTTCTGATGACAAGGACTATATGTCAACACCCATGACTGATCCCTGATGTGACAGTCAATTCAGTGTGTGCTGAGACTGTCTTTATAAAAAGTGCAAAAAATGAACTGCCAACATATATGATCTCTCTAGTAACAAATATTTATGTTACTAGGTTGGCCACTTTAACAGATCAAGTCATAAATCAGACAAGTCAATCAAATATTAAGTATGACTATTATTTTTCCTCATTGTGATTACATATATGGTAAAAAGCTGAAGGCAGTTTTTACATAATCATCAATTTCTACACAAGATGTAAGGCTAACTATTTTGTAGATGCTCAAAATATTAATAATACCAAATATCATCTGATAACAATTCATGATTCATGTAACACATACATAATGTATCAGTACATCCAAACAAGAAAAGCAGGTTTGTGATCAGTGTAATATAGATTCCTGTAAACTCCAGAAGCTCAGAGACTTTGACTCCAAAGTATTCCCCACTGCTAAGATCTGGACTGCATTATGCTAAGTGAAATAAGCTAGTCAGAGAAAGACAAGTACCATATGATCTCACTCATAGGTGGAATCTAATGAACAAACAAGCAAAACAGAGACAGACTCATACATAGAGAGCAGGATGACAGCTGTTGAGGGTGGGGAGTTGGGGGGTGGATTGATAGAGCAAAAAAGAAAAAAAAAGAGAAAAAACTCATAGACATGGACAACAGTGTGGTGATTGTGGAGGGGCGGGGGGCTGCAGGGAGGTGGAGGAGGGTATGGGAGGGATAAATGGTGATGGACGAGAGTGTGGTGAACACACAATACAGTGTACAGATAATGTGTTGTGGAATTGTGCACTTGAAACCTGTATAATTTTGTTAACTAGTGTCATCCCAATAAATTAAAAAAAAAAAAAGATAGTACCAGCACACTGTAGTCATTCAATATATGCTTGTTGTTTGACTAACACTTTAGGTGCTCATCCCATGTATTCTAGAAGAGCATCCCCCCATACTAAAGATAATATGAAATAAAGACATATTACATATGTCTTTATGAAAGTGGTTTAGGTTCATAATAATGACAACATTTATTGATCAAAAATAAATTCTTAAAGCCCTAGTCCCTTTGGCTTAGTGGTTAGAGTGTTGTCCCGTGGACTGAAGGGTCCTGGGTTCAACTCTGGCCAAGGGCATGTACCTCAGTTGCAGGCTCAATCCCTGACTCCCGGTCTGTTGGAGAGCCTGCCGGAAGCAACTAATCAATGTGTGTGTCTCTCTCTCCCTTCCATTCTCTCTGAAAAGCAATGAAAAAACATCCTTGGGAGAGGATGAAAAATAATAATAATTTCTTCCATATGGAGGTAATACTGAAAAACATATACCATAATATTCTGCTGTTGCTTCTTAAGAGTGATCTTGTCTTTATTTAAAGCTTAAATTAAATGCTGGATTTTAACAAATACAATATTCATAATTTTGTTCTTAAGGATTGATATAAACATTCCTATTTATACAGTTCCTGTTGTAAGAAACTTAAAACACTCTAAATATTACTACATTTATAACTTAACTTGCTAACCGATGGATCAAAGCTATAATCAATTATTAACCAACTTTTGGTTTAAAAGAACATTAGGAAATAATGTAAAATAAAGTAGCTAAAACAGATAATTACTATAATTTAACTTTTTTCTTTGAAATTCTTTACCCCATAGCAGTACATTAAATAAGACAACTTATCTCTGCTACAAGATGGTAGCTTTCAAGAAATAAATACTTTTTGGGAAATATCATTTTAATAATTTCTGAGCTTCATTTTGAAGATGTTAATTGGATTTAAAGCAGTATTCTGTTTAAAAATTTTTTAAAATAATGTCTAATTTTTGACAATATAAATAGAAGATACCACACAAACTTGTTGCTTAATTCAACTATTCTAATGAATGCTACATTACTATGGACAAAAATAAAATTTGGAAATATGTGAAAATACATTTAGATAAAATAATGTGATAATATACCATTCTTGAGAATAATAAAGCCATCACTGGTAGATTAAATGTTTTACACACACACACACACACACACACACACACTTTAGAGTTCTGCTAAAATAAAGTTTTTTTTTAAGGATATGGTTTTTAAAAAGAGTAAATAAGAAGATTAATTTATTAGTCTTTGGAGTACGATGTTTGCTATGAGGTAGAATTGGTAGCTAATTATTTGAACTGGCTGGAAGTCAAGCAACATTGAATATTTTTTCCCTTAAATCAGTATTACATCTTAGTTCACAACTTAGAATAGAGGCTGAAGTGTATAATACACACACTTTCATTTACTCAGAATCTGTGGTAAGAGACACTACTTCATAATACACTTTGTTTCTTCACCTACTGCTCTTCAACTGTAGCTATAGGTAACAAGAATAAAACCTCACAAAACATTTGGTCATATAGTTCAATCTTTATATCTCTCTATCATCTATCTCTATCTGTCTATCTATATCTATCTATCTATCTATCTATCATCTATCTATCTATCATCTATCTATCTATCATCTATCTATCTATCATCTATCTATCTATCATCTATCTATCTATCATCTATCTATCTATCATCTATCTATCATCTATATCTATCTATCATCTATCTATCATCATCTATCATCTATCTATCTATCATCTATCATCTATCTATCATCTATCATCATCTATCTATCTAATCTATCATCTATTTATCTATCTATCATCTATCTACCTATCATTTATCTATATCATCTATCTATCTTTTCTGTACTATGATAGGGTCTTTGCTCCTATCAATTGAAAGGCATTTCCTATTTGTGCAGTATTCCTGTCAAAACGCATAAGAGTTGGGGGTGAGTGGGACCTGAAGGGTAGATGTATGATTCAGTTTCCATCACGAGCTATCTCACAGGTTGGAATGGACCAGGAGAGGCAGCCTCCAGCCACGCAGTTGCAGTATGGCAGCTTGTATGTTTCTCATCTCTTCTTACAATATTTCGGTGGTAGATGCACAGCATTCTTGAGAAATTCTTATCGCTGTTTTGTCATAAATATTCCCTAAAGTCATGTTTCAGTTTATTTTGGAGTACTGTTTAAGCTGGGACCAATGAATGAATTATAATTAGAATAACCCTGGTTTAGGTACTTGCCATTACTAATGTTTTACAGAAACCATTCTCTATTTTACAGGAAATACGTAAATATGAACTATTGACAGCTTGGTAATTAAAAACAGTAATTATTTCTAGGCAACCTCCTATCTGGTTTTTCAGTCATTTAACACTGTTTATTGAAAATTTATTCTATGTGTTACTATGCCGGAAACCAGAGTCTTCAAATGGAAAGGGAGAAACTCATGGTCCACTGCAGTGCTTCCTCAGAACAACAGTTCCAAGGAATAATAAGTGCTCTTCCATGAACAAAGGTTCCACGGAAAAATATGTTTGAGAAACTGTGGGTTAAACAAATGTTATCAGATTTGTTTGTGTAAGACTTACAGCTTCATAATCAGTAAGAGTGTATGTGGTATTTTCTAAAATTATTTTACTCTGGAGTCCAATTTTTCCCTCCTACAGAATATCTTAAAGAGTACTGTTGAATGTAAACAATTAGGGATCATCCCATGCAAAGAAACCCCCTTATTCATTTTTTGCCTTCCCAATGACTACTCTGAAGTGGGTATTAAATCATTGTTAAATGAATAAAAGGAGATAGTTACTATACTACATGGCAGAAAGTAATGTGCCTTCACTGAGGTACAAATAAAACTTTATGGAAATTCAGAGGATGGAGAGAATATATTCAGCTGAGAGAAACCATATGAAGTTTAATGAACCGGGTTACACTGTAGGAAATTTTGAAGGACAGGGACATTTAGAGATAAAGGAAAGGCAGTTGGGCAGAAGGTCAATGTGAAGAGACCTGGGAGCATCTCCAGGCTGAAGGTTATTGTACTTGCTCTTTTTTACACTTTGAGCATAGCTACATTCCAACAGAAATTTTTGCCACTTAGGCTTTCATATTTTAAAATCATTACAACCTCAGGAAAAACTATTAGGAAAAACTATAGGAAAATAAAAAAGGAAAATTATACTTAAATGAATTTATACTGATAGGACAGTTTTAAACAATACTTACTGCTATTAGGGTTGTCTCCTATGATATGGTGTCGCCCACTCCAGTACCAGAGAAGCAGGGTTGCATCTCGAGACCCTGACACAATATAGCAGTCCCCACCGATGTACGACTCAGACCTAGCCAAGCAGGTGACCACATCCCAATGGCCAAATACAATCTGAGTTAATTTCCCTAAAACACAGAAATGGTAGGCTTAATTCATTTGCTATTTTTCTTTAAATGGTAATAACTTTATTTTGCTATATTTGTGAAAAGTGACCCTATAGACCTGTAAATTTGTAAGGTAATTCAAGTCTAGCGACAGATTTGCTCTCTTGACTTGTTTCTGAAAAATAATATAAGGCTATCACTTGGGGTTTTTAAGAAAAAGACTTACAAGATAACACAATGATGATTTTTGTTTGGGTCAGACTAAGGGGAGATTTAAGGTCTTTTACTGGATTTCATCTGGGGAAGGAGACAATAGTCCCCTTTGTCCTGTGAAATCAGGGTTCATGCTAAAGTTCAGACTGAATAGCATGATAGTCAGCTATTAACTTACAATGTAAACATTTAATTTAGATGTTGGTACTCAAGATAAAATGCCTACATTATTATGGTTTCACATTAAGCTTTGGGTATAACAATAGGCACTTTAAAGAGAATAAGGTATTTCAAAGTGAAGGTTACCTGTTTCTGTAGAATAAACTCTGAAGCTCTTATCCCAGAATCCACAGATAAGAATATAGCGGTTATCGGCTGTGACCACAAAACAATGTGCATTGATTTGTATACTCTGGTCAACGAGGTCTGTGATCTGCCGTTTGTTCACACCAGAGTTATTGGCTAAATGTAAATAAAAAAAACATTTAAAGAAATATTTTATACGAGTTTTATCAAGCACTTATAGAAGGAATATTTTTATGCTTCATTTGTATAGAAAAGTTTTTTTAAGGCTATAGATTATTAAGACTTTAATATTTACCATGAGGAATATAAATTTTTTTAGTAGCAGTGATTATTTATAAGCCATATTACATATTTAAAAATTGCTATAAATTTAAGTTCCCCCACCAATAAATAAATACAATATGAAAAAATCAAGATAATGACATTAAAACAATAAAAAATATCTAAATGCATTTAATTCTACAGATGTTTACTATGCACAAGTTCATTAGTGTCCAACAAGTTCAACAAAATGAGGAATAATATTATATGATGTATGCTATATAAGGAAAAAATATCTTAATATTTGCCCCAATCTGTCATTTTCTGATGACATTTACAATTCATGTGAAAAGAAGAGGGTAGAGATTTGAGCAAAGGATGTTGCTATGTGGGCTGTCCCACAGGGAGCTTTAGGTCAGCAGCTTGAAAGACCTGGATTGTCAGCAAACAGAAGGCCTTTCCAGAATGGCTGGCAGGGGAGCAGAGGAATATAAAAGATGGAAGAGGAATTGAGGAGGAATGAGACAGGCAAAGAGTCAGTGGATAGCAGTGGGGTTAGATCTGAATAAGGACAAGAATGCAGAAACACGGTTTGATTTCCCTAGTGTCTATCTGTATGCCAGCCTGCCCCTTACTCGACACCGCCCTTTCAGGCTAAATCCCTGGGCTGAATTCTTAAACAGAAAATGCAGATGTAGAAGATCACTGTCACTCTCTAACACCAATTAAATCTATGTGCTACTATCTGTGGAGATCTACTAACACTATAATAATAATTATTAGAGAAGATAAACAATAAAAAACTATACAAAAACGGTAGCAAAGAAAAAGAAAATTAAAGATCCTAAGTCACTTAAAAACTGTGCAAGTTATAATTATATATAACTATATAGTTGGTCCTTTATTCACTGGAATACAGCTATTAATTTTTCCATGGTTACACTCTACCTGTATGTGACATTATTGATGGTTCTTGGTATAGCTAGACCCTAAAAATATTCCTGGTACTAAACCTTATATCCTCCCAAAGACATATCAATGTTATTTTTTATAGGGGTATACCTGATTGAAATGGCTGCCTCTCATCTTATTTCTGGGTTCAAAGATAAAGGGGGAATTAATCTAAGAAAAAAATGCTATAACTTGTATATGGCTTAATAATTCCTCACAGAATTTTTTTTTCTAATTTAGTTATCTACAGGATCTCCTGAAATAGGCAGAACCAATATTAGTATTATAAACCATCTTGCAGATATAAAACTGAGGCCAAGAAAGACTAAGGGGCTTGTTCTAGATCATATGACTAATAAATGTGTATGTGATTATTTAAAATATTTGTAATATCTTCTGCAAGGACTTATAGCTGATCTTGCAATTTATAAGAAATTTTTACTTTAAAAATGGTTTAGCCCTACTAAATGAAGATTTCTAAAAAAAGATGTTTTTCAGTATTAGTTTTCTTTAGTTATCTCTTTGAGCCCTTATATATTTTAAATAATATAAAGCTGTAAAAGACTAGTTTAGGATGAAAGAAAGAACAGTTTGGAAATATTTGCCTTGCTTAGAACCAACTTAAATGACCTCCTGAAACATAAAGGAAAGCCACAAATAATTGTTTAATACCAAAAAGTTCTTAGATGGCATATTATGATTTGCACAGTTCTTTGACAGTAATTTAACATTATTTGCACATTAATTTTGTGGCAGAAAAAAATACCATTCAACTATCATTTGTGATAACCACATAAGAATCTGTGGACAGCCAGCATCCATGATAAAATATTTTTGTCAGCATACCAATGAGTGGATCCATTTCAATAGGGAGATGATGGGCTTGATCCAAGGAGTACCCTGGAGCTCCTCTAAGGCCTACAGATTAAATGAAAAGAGAAAACTACCATTAAATTCTCATAAAAGAGGCATTTTCTAAAAAGCAGTGTTTTATGATGATTACGCAAAATATACATTCACTTAAAAATTATTTGGTAAATTATTCTAAGAATGATTCAGTCTCACCACATCTTTGTAGAAAGCATTAATAGCCTAACAAGAAGAAAAAGCTGGATAAAATAGATGATCGTAACATTTCTTGAACCCAAAAGAGAGCTAAGGCTTGAAATCTAAGAAAAGGCCATGTCTGCCAGCAGCGAGGGTGTGAGCACAGGTTCACCTGGGCTCAGGCAGGGGGGAAGATGGGGCTCCCACCTTCCCCAAGTGGAATTTCTTTCAATATAGGACAAGTCAATTGAAGATATGAAATTGAGTCACATCTAAAATCTTAACCTCAGTAAAAGCTTCCTTCAGAGGATTAATGTTTAGGGCTTGATTGAGTTCATTAGTCGTAATTTTTTACATGTGATCATATAACATATAATGCTTTCAAACAATTCTAAAGAAAAATTTAGCCCATAATTTTCTCTCAATGCAAAATATTTCTAGAGGCTAAGACTTCTGTGAATAATAGTCATACACAGAGCAGGGCAAAAGTAGGCTTATAGTTGTAAGGGAAACATAGAGTTTATTCTTGTATTATTATTTATTTATTATTGTATTATTTTCCATAGGAAGAACTGTAAACCTACATTTGCCCAACCCTGTATTTTTGAAGATGTTTACTATATATTTCTGATTGAATGGAAGTAGTTCTACCTCTTGTTGATAATATCACCAAAAACTATAAAATAGGTGCTCTTAAAAGCTTTTAAGAGAATAAGCTATGGTAAAAATCACTCTATTTTTCAGAGCAATACAGAAATCAGTAGAATAGAAAGATGAGTTAATTCACCGTGGCTCATCCACTCAGTCCTGGAGACAGCGGGAGTCCTGGCGCTTCCAGGAAGATCTTAAGTGGTTAACTGGGCCACTAAATAATTTGGTCACATCCACTTCTGTCCTGATTAAATAAGTATCAATATGTCTAACTTTTATGACAGAATTGTATCATTTTAAGATGAACTGGCTGGAGCTTTCAGGAATGCGTTTGGAGAAAACACATGTGAAATCAATGGATAATTTAGATTTTGTCTTTCTTAAATACTCTAAGCTCTATAAGGAGAAGTATGGTGTTTGTCTTGTTCATTGCTGTACTCCCAGTGCTCAGGACTATCTGATACACAGTGGCCATTCAAATATTTGCTAAAGAAAATTAATGAAGTAAAAGAAAGAGGATTTGAAATCATCATCCAGGAAATGGAGATTCAAACTCTTTTGTTTAATATGGGAAAACTGTTTGTTTCTTTCTGGGAGCATGGTAGAGTAGGGTGGAAGGACCTGACTAATTTGTAGAACTGTTTCTATTTATCAAATATTTATTGAATACTTAAGCCATTAGCCAAGCATTCTGTGATCACTAAAATAGAACAGCAGCAGATAAAACAGGTAAGAGTTATATAGTTGGTCTGGCAATTATTTACTGTGCCGCTTTTTGGTGATAATTTGGTAGAGTAGCTTGCCTGCGGCACACATATCTTACCTTAATTGCAGTTTTTAAGAAGCCTTTAGCAAGTGACTTGCTTAGGCACACATACCTACTGTGTTGTGCCATCGATTCACCGCAAACAGTCTGCTGCAGGTCACGGTCACCACGGCTGGGATGGTCAGGTGGGGCAGTGTGTTAGCTGCCACATGTGTTACTGGAGAATTTGATGGAAACTTCAGCACCATGATCACATCCTGTTGCATCTGATCTTTAAACATGAGTGGACTCTGTGGAAGGAAACACTGTTGAATAGAAAGGGAAGAGAGCAAAAGAAAACAGAAGGGATAACACAGTTAGTGAAAGTTCTGGGGAGAATGAGGTTAAAACAGATGAAGTTAGCATGAGTACACAAAGAGAACAAAGCAATGTTAACTTTGGTACTGCGAAGACAGCACAGGGGAAAGAGAGCAGGGACTCTGGTAGCCACTGACAGAGGACACCGAATTCTTAGCAGTCAGCCTCCATTTAAGTACCACCAGACTGCAATGTAAGAAGTTAGCTTATAGATATGTCCACATGATGTAGCATAAATATTCAATGCAGTTAAAACATCAGGTTTGTGGGAAAATTAGTTGTCAGATACTCACACTGTTTACAGGAAATATAAAGTACATGGATTGATACTTTCATTTTTCACCTGGCTGACCTGGGGTCATGGCTACAGTCTACACAGTGAGAATACAATAGCCTCCCTTGGCAGAGCTTTATACATCTCTCTGCTGTGGCACTACTGACTGCTTGTGTTCCATGCCTCCTTTCCCCGGTCTGGCCTGTGAGCTTACTGAGGGCTAAACCTGCTTTTTTAAAAAAGTCTTTGTTTCTCAAACATTAGCATATGACTTGAGAGAAAGTAGATACCATAAGTACTACTATTAAGTACTATAAAACACTATAAATACTATTATATAAAAACTCAAAGTAGGGATCCTGGAAATAACCATTATTTAGCTCTCATACATGTTTTGTAATTGTTTCTTATATATATGAATTCTCTGCTACATGAACTTAGAAAGCTTAAATTTTCTTTATAAACAGTTCCATGCCAATTTAGTCTCTTAATTTCCTCTAGGAAAGTAATGAATTCCGACTGGACAAATTTATTATATTATTATTATTATTATTATTATTATTATTATTATTATTCAGAGAAAACTAACTCAGGAATAAACTCTTCTGCCAAAGTATTTCATAAAGTAGAGTGTTAGAATACTCTCTTGGACAGTTTATCCACAATGCTTCATCCCAAGGCCTGGGTGTTTGTATGGGAAGGGCACACTTGGTACAAACTTTTCTGCTTTGTCACACACATGGACCCATGCAATTAGGAGTTAATTAGCAACTAACCAAGGAAGGGGCTGAAGCTGGTTGAGCCACTGTAGAGAAAAAAAAATGTTTTCAAACAAACTCATTTATTTATTGTTTCACTAGGAGTTTGTCAATTGACTCCTTGAGGTATAGAGGATATATTTATCTGTCTCTATATTGACAATGCCTACCATCATGCCTGACACACAGAAGGGACTCAATAGAAATTTCTTAAGTAACTGACAAAATAAATGAAAGGTGTGAAAAATACTTCCATAACAAAATAACAGCTTATAAATTTGTATACGCATATATTATGAACCATATTCCAGAGCTCTTTTTCCCAAAGTTAGGGTTTTTGCTGCCTTGATAACTGTCTAGAAAAACCAATATGCTGTAGTTCATCACATTTTTTTTTGCAAATACATTTTTACCATCAACCATTTTTTACTAGAGAAAAAATAGTGAAAAATCAGTTTAAAAAATAAATTCTAAATAAGTTTATCAGAAAAATATTTATCTTCAAATTAGATAAAGAGGGAAATGTTTACTATTTGCTAATAAACTAAAAAAGGAATGCTTTGTTATGAAAATGGACTTTTAAAGTTCACATTAAAATGAAGACTTTTAAACTTTTTCCCTTGCAAATGGGAATAAAGTTTTAATGTAAGTAGCTAATGATGATTGTTGACACAAGCTAACATTTATTGAGAACTTATTGATGCAGAGACGATGTTTGACTCAGCTCTGGCTCTGTGGCCCTTGTCCTTAACCCCTCTGCTCGACTGCCTCTCTGCAGTGACCAGAAATTACTTTTATATATCTTTTCTTTTCTTAAAATGAACTACTCCCCTTTCCTCACCATGCCCAAAAAGGTGCAATTGGGCAGTAAGTTGTGTTTATATATTTTTCATTCTAATTTATAAATCTAATCTAATTTTGGTGTGGGTGTATATAAGCCTGTATGTTTATGAATGAGTTTATGTAGAGGCAGATATAGTCAGAGAAGATGGCTACTTTTGTGAATCCAAAATTGACTTAGCTTCAGCAGGACTTAAAGGTAAGAACTGCATTCCCTTCTCTGTTTCTCCCTAGGGTATCAGTAGATATCTAGGTGAAGAGTTAACCAATACATTGAGACGCCTTAAAAAACGTTGTTAAAATCACTCTTTTATTTGATCTATATCTAGCTACAAAAAAGAAAATTTCAGCAAGCTGATATGTCTTACCAGGTGCATGGCAGAGCTCCGAGGTGGATGTGGCTCAATAAGCAACTGAGATGGCGTCTGTCCAAAGTTCTGTATCTGTGCCTCCATGGCCTGCAGGGGAAGGAGAGTGATTGTCATAATCAATATGCATCAACAAGGAAGTTTAATACACTCTTTGACAATGAAAGCGTATCCCAAGTCAGCCATGAAAGAAATCCAGAAAATTCACCGGGTGCTCTTCTCTCAGGGTGCAGAGTCATCTAAGTGTCAGTATTTCGTAAACAAGATTTGTGTCTCCTTCCAAATGTGCTTCTGTTAACCAAGTCACTATTTTGATTTAGAAGCTGGGGTTAAGTGTGGAAATGTTAACCTGTGAGTACATGCATGCAGCTAAAAAACAAAGAACATAAGAACCCGTTTAACACAAAATACAACACATATACCTCAATAAAGTCCTTTGTAAGAAGGAATGTATGGGGATCTCTAATGAAATAAGCTTCTGGAATCTTTATGGAAATAAAAAAATGAGACATGAAGTCCACAGACAACACGAAATAAAATTCAGAAAATCACATGTTCCAATCAATTCAGAAGGCAATCAGTAGAAAGAAAACTAAGACCTTTATATAATGATTAAATATAGCAAAACTTTCACTACAAAAATATATTTTAGCATGCTATGCTATTTTAAGATGAATCTTGGTATTCATCTTATGTCCAAGTATTATGGTGTCCATTAATATGCATGGTGCCCACTAATATGCAAAAGTATGAATTTCTCTCAAAAATTTTCTGAAATTCTAGAGAAAACTAACCCAAAGAGGAAAGCATTATTTGGGCATTCTGAGCTATGCAATATTACATTATGGCCTGCTCAAATGGAAATATTAATGAGATTTCAAGGCTCTAATGAATACAAAAAATTTTAGATCTCAAATTATCTGGGCTGTATAACATGCTTTTTTTTTTTGTATGTATATCAAAGAGATAATCTTGAGAACTAAGTATATCTTCTATATGTAAATTCTACAGGTAAAATATTTCAATCTATTAAGCCAGACTAACTGAAATAATCTTCTGAAATATGTAATTTAATTCAACAAGAAGAAGCACAGAATTTACTATGATCATTACTCTGTTACTATACAAATTTTCCCCCTAAAATGGTGTGCAATTTGGTTGCACATAAAAGTGAAATATGAAACTCACTGCTGAGTGTAGGTAAGTTGTTAAATGGCTCTCAACACAACGCTGCCACTAATCGTATCATCATCTACAATTCTCATTTATAAAGTACTTAAATTTAACAATCTGTTCTCCTAGACTGCATTTCAAGAGAATGTTTATGAATATAAGTGTAAATTTTCAAATTTATTAGCAATATTAATCATGAATGTATCATTATCTGCCATATTTTAATAACTGCATAAGTAGGGCTTTGGTTCTTTTACTTGCAGAGGCAATAGGATAAATTATTAAATCTCTTTAAGTGCTGTCCAATTTTAATGTACAGTATACATTTATTTGCATGGTGTCCACTAATATGCAAAGTGTGACTATTTAACTTAATTGTACTAAAACAGATAACAACATGTTTTATCTTCTCCAGGCAATATTTATGATTTTATAATAGGGAAGTGACCATTTCTGGCTAGGTTCATGTTATTAACAACAAACTCTTGAGAATTATTGGGGAAAAAAAGGAGAAATTTGGTGTTAGAACTGTCCTGGTTATAAAATGTCCAATACCTTGCTCAGTGTATCATGCATGAACAGCTAAAATCTCTCTAACAATAGATACTATTGCTTGTGTTTTTACTCCTCCAGAAAAAGAGCCAGAGTAGGACTAGGGAGATAGGGGTAAAATTAAACACATTTAAATCTTGGATCAATGCCTTGAACTTAGCAGGTAGGCTTTAAATGTTCATAAAAGGAATGAATCAACAAACATGTTTTGCTTGACTTTAATGTTTTTCTGAAAAGAAAGCATTAAAATTACTCTAGAAAATGTTATGAAACTGATTTTAATTTCCAGAAATCTTCAATACAGCTCTCTTCAGTGGGTCCTGCCTCTGATCCTTTTTGGACTGAGGTAGAGTACACGTGCATATATATCTTAAATGACTCTCAAATAGAATCAGGATTAATTTTAAGTTGTGATCAATCTCATCCTTTCATTTAGTAATTTATTCCCTACATTGAACATTTATTTCTTGTAAGACTAAACTGAATCCCTCTTCCTTGTGATCTACATCACATGCCTTCATGACCTAAAGGTTCTGATTCTAATATCTAACTTTTGGCTATTTTGTAATCCTGTCTTCCAATAACTCCTTAACCCCTTATTTCAAAATGTACAAGTCTTGCCCTGGACCAGTGGTTCAGTTGGCTGGAGCATCCTTCTGTACACCAAAATGTTGTGGGTTCGATCCCCGGTTGGGGCATGTAAGGCAACTGATCAATGTTTCTCCCTCCCTCCCTCTCTTTCTAAATCAATAAAAACATACCCTTGGGTGAGCACAACAAAGTACAAGTCTTTCCAATCTTGAAAAAGCATGCTGTTTCCCCTAACGTTTGTTTTTTGTTTTTACCAAAATGTTCAAATGGGAAGTGAGCACCTACTTACTCTCCTCCCCTGCTCCTGTGCCACCCCACATTTAGAATGCCATCAATGTCTTCTTTATTGTCAAGAAGGAAGAGTGCCTGGGGATGTGCAACCTAAGAAGCCTAGCGGTGGAACAGTTACTCTGAGAACTACTCCATGATGGAGAAGAAGATGCCTCCCTTCAGGCTAACCTTGGGCAGGGTTCTCACTCCTTCCCAGACTCCCTAAGTCATAATGATGGTCCTCCATATTCTCACAGCACCTTCCCCCCTTTATTATGGAGTTCAACACAATTCTTCACACATGTCTGTTTGGTCTGAATCACCGTAGGGCAGGACTGTGATTTAGTCCTACAGAGTCCAAAAATATTGGCTAAATTTAGAAGTGGGGCAATGGTGGGGTATTTGCGCAAAATATGAATGGTAGCCTAGAAGAAAGAAAGCACAGTAGTAGAGAAAACTTCAGAGTTCTTTACTTTTTACAATTCAGTACCATAAAAACAATTAACAAAGGCTTGTTGAATTGTTACTCTATGCCAAAGCATACAAAATCCGATACTAGACAATCTCAGGAAGGCTTCAGCCCATAAGGACATAAGATGAGTTAGTACATCAAGGCACCTAGCAGGTAAAAGGACCCAGCAGGTAAAATGGTGGGGGCCAGCCCAGAATGCCAGGGAGCCACGGGAGTGATGTGTATATCAGGCTCTGGGTAAAAGGAGGCAGTAGAGACAGTAGGGCTACTAGAAAAAAGACTTCCAGAAAAAGGACACAAACTGAGGTCTAAAGGTCGAGTAAGAATTAGCTAGTTCACAGTTTAAAGATTTTTTTGCCATGTAGAATTTCTTCATTAATAATTTCCAAATATATATATATATATATATATATATATATA